CTTCCTTCCCCCTCTACTCCCTTTCCTTCCTTTCTTCCACTTTCATTTCATTTTCCTTCCCTTTCCCCTTCCTTCCCTCCTTCCCTCCCTCCCTCTTTCAATGTTCCTCCTCCCCCCCACCTTCCTTTCCTTCCCCTTTCATTTTACCTTCATTTCTCTCTTCTTTCCCTCTCTCTCTTCCTTCTTTCCTCCCTCCCTCCCTCTGCAGAACTCAGCCCAAGTTATCATAAAGTTTTTCCCCCTTGTGTGAACCATCTCCGGTCAACCGGAGATGTATGGGGTATTTTTAGAGCAGGCCTGTTATTTAATTTGATTTTAATAGAAATCTGCGTATATTTATCATGGTTTTTATTATCGCCTGTTCACCGCCCTGAGTCCCGTAAGGGAGATAGGGCGGTATATAAATTCAATAAATAAATAAATAAATAAATAAACCCTGCAGAAATGCCACTGGTGTTTTACAATAATGCAATAAAACAGTATAAAGGAGGGGGAGAAGGGAGGATGGCAGGTGTGGCGAAGAGGGACCCAACTGAGCTGCCAACTCTGGAACAAGAGTCCAAAAGGAGTTGTCGTCACAGGCACAGAGACTGAGGGCAAATTGGCTCTTAGCATTTGTTGACTTTCTCACTTGTTAAAACTTGAAAAAAGGATCGTGATAACGGAATATGCTATCTACTCCAGATTAGATTAGATTAGATTAGATTAGATTAGATTACCTTTATTGTCACTTTTTTCCTGTGGGCACAACGGCACACCTTAAAAATGAAATTTAGTTGCTTGCTCTCAAGTGTACACAAACATAACACACATTTAAAACATACTATATACAACATATGTATACATCTACACCCTTACATAGAAGTATTCTATTCCATTCCATTCCATTCTATTCTATTCTATTCTGTATTTCTATTCTATTCTGTTATTCTTTTCTTTTCTTTTCTTTTCTTTTCTATTCCATTCCATTCCATTCCATTCCATTCTATTCTATTCTATTCTATTCTATTCTATTCTATTCTATTCTATTCTATTCTATTCTATTCTGTTATGTTATGTTCTATTCTATTCTATTCTATTCCTTATTTTTAATTCTATTCCATTCTATTCTATTCTATTCTATTCTGTATTTCTATTCTATTCTGTTATTCTTTTCTTTTCTATTCCATTCCATTCCATTCCATTCCATTCTATTCTATTCTATTCTATTCTATTTTCTGTTCTATTCTATTTGGTTCTGTATTTCTATTCTGATCTGTTCTGTTCTGTCCTGTTCCATTCCATTCCATATGTTCTGTTCTGTCCCATTCCGTTCCATTCCATTCCATTCCATTCTATTCTATTCTTATTTCTATTCTGTTCTGTTCTGTTCTGTTCTGTTCTGTTCTATTCTGTATTTCTATTCTGATTCTGATTCTGATTCCATTCTTATTCTTAGGTTCCACCTGAAGGCCTTAGTCCTAACTGCACCATAAATTCTGAGCATGCGCTTGCATAACATACTCACCTTGTCCTGATTCTGTTGGGATGCGTGCATTCAGCAACCACCACCCCCCACCCCCCGTCTTTCCAGAGGATATGCGACCCATTTATTTCGGGAGAAGGAAAAAACCATTTTTTTTCCTTCTTGGCCTGCCGTGGCACAGCCCTAAGAGCTGGCAGGAAGTCCCAGTGACTTAATAAATCCGTTTCCTTTTGGAAACACGACAAGGAAGCCGGCTCTGTCTCAGTCATGCTTCGTTTACAGCTGTTTTCCGGTCTTTAAATCTAAGAATGGAGTTTAGCAAACAATTCCCAGCCATCCGAAGGAAATTGCCTTGTGCCTCGGCTGCGGCAGAGTTGCGACAAGGTGTACAGGCAATCCTCGACTTACGACCGCAGCCGTCATTGCTAAGCAATACAGTTGTTAAGTGAGTTTTGCCCCATTTTATGACCTTTCGTGCCGCAGTTGTTAAATCAGGCACAATGCATTTAACAACCACTTTGCCAGCAGAACCACAGAACCACAATCAACAATCAATTATTATGGTTTTCTGTCAACAACAATATAATAATAATAATAATAATAATAATAATAATAATAATAATAATAATAATAATAATAATAATAATAATAATAGTTGGAAGGGACCTTGGAAGTCATCTAGTCCAACCCCCTGCTCAGGCAGGAAACACTACACCATTTCAGACAAATGGCTGTCCAGTCTCTTCTTAAAAACCTCCAGTGATGGAGCATTCACCGCTTCTGGAGGCAAGGAGTTCCACTGGTTAATTGCTCTAACTGTCAGGAAGTTTCTCCTTAGTTCCAGGTTGCTTCTCTCCTTGGTTAGTTTCCATCCGTTGCTTCTTGTCCTGCCTTCAGGTGCTTTGGAGAATAGCTTGATTCCCTCTTCTTTGGGGCAGCCCCTGAGATACTGGAACACTGCTGTCATGTCCCCCCTCGTCCTTCTCTTTGTTAAACTAGACAGACCCAATTCCTGCAACTGTTTTCTTTTTCTACATTGATTGCTTGTTGCAGCTTTTTTTAGTGGCAAGACGTCCTTTGAAATAAGTCCTTTGAAACTAAATCATACGAAGAACAGCTGGAGGACTTGGGTTTGGCTAGTCTAAAGAAAAGAAGAAATAGGGGAGACATGATAGCAGTCTTCCAGTATTTGAGGGGCTGCCCCAAAGAAGAGGAGGGGGTCAAATTATTCTCCAAAGCACCAGAGGACAGGACGAGAAACAATGGTTGGAAACTGACCAAAGAGAGAAGCAACCTGGAATTGAGGAGAAACTTCCTGACAGGGAGGACAATTAACCAGTGGAACAGCTTGCCACCAGAAATCGTGGGCGCTCCATCACTGGAGATTTTTAAGAAGAGGCTGGACAGTCACTTGTCTGAGATGGTATAAGTTCTCCTGCTGGAGCAGGGGGCTGGACTAGAAGACCTCCAAGGTCCCTTCCAGCTCTATTCTATTCTAAACAAATAGATATATACAGTATTTCTTTTACTTGTTTATGGCTCAGATTTATATCCTGGCTTTTCAAGGCCTTTGGGCAAGTAAAGGAGAGACAAACAACAACATCTCCAAACGAGGCCAGAGCATCAAGGAAAAACATGGGAAGTGTTTGTATTCCGGGTTGCATCACTTTCCTCCAGCTGTTGGCAGGGGTAATTCCAGAGGTTGTTTTGCATCCTGCTGCACAAGCGGCACATTCTGACGCAAATCAACACTTCCTGGTGTTTTCTCTCTTCATCTCCCTCCAGCTAATAATAATTTGGGGTCGGAAGGAAGCAAGTCAAGTCCAAGCTAACTGTTTTTGTACATAAGGACTCCGTGCATCCTTCGACAGAATAACAGAGCTGGAGGGGGACCTTGGAGGTCTTCTAGTCCAACCCCCTGCTCAAGCAGGAGACCCTATAGATCTCAACTTACGATCAGAACTGAGCCCAGGATTTCTGTTGCTAAGCGAGACGTTTCTTCAGTGAGTTTTGCCCTATTTTACGACCTTTCTTGCAGCAGTTGTTAAGTGAATCACTGCAGCTATTAAGTTAGCCAAACAGTTGTTAAGTGAATCTGGCTTCCCCCCATTGACTTTGCTTGTCAGAAGGTCGCAAAAGGGGATCATGTGACCCCCCAGGGGACACGGCGACCGTCGTAAATGCGAGTCAGTTGCTAAGCGTCCGGATTTTGATCACGTGACCGCGGGGCATGGCCACGGTCATAAAAATGAACCGGTTTCGAAAGCAGCGTCTGTCTGGTAAACTCGCAAGATTCGTTTTTCTCGCCATGCACAAGTTATACATCACCCAAACTAGACTGTTGTTTCTCTGCGTCATATAATATATGTGGTATATGCATAATTCTGTATTTATTTATTTATTTTTGTCATGTTTATGTAGTGTATATCGGAGGTAGTGTCCCTTTGAGAGCTGTAGGCAATGAAATTTCATTTTAATGTATGCGGATTAGTGCACACTCAAAGTAACAATAAAGTTATTATTCTGTTCTGTTCTATTCTATTCCATTACATATTTTATATTCTATTCTATTCTATTCTATTCCATTCCATTCCATTCCATTCCATTCTATTCTATTCTATTCTATTCTATTCTATTCTATTCTATTCTATATATTCCTATTCTATTCTATTCTATTCTATTCTATATATTCTATATATTCTATTTATTCTATATATTCCTATTCTATTCTATATATTCCTATTCTATTCTATTCTATTCTATTCTATTCTATTCCATTCTATATATTCTATTCTATTCCATTACATATTTTCTATTCTATTCTATTCTATTCTATTCTATTCTATTCTATTCTATTCTATTCTATTCTATTCTATATATTCTATTTATTCTATATATTCCTATTCTACTCTATATATTCCTATTCTATTCTATTCTATTCTATTCTATTCTATTCTATTCTATTCTATTCTATTCTATTCTATTCCATATTTTCTATTCTATTCTATTCTATTCTATTCTATTCTATTCTATTCTATTCTATTCTATTCTATTCTATTCCAATTCCATTCCCTTCCCTTCCCTTCTCTTCTCTATTCTATTTTCTATTCTATTCTATTCATTTTGATCACCTTGACCCAAAGGGATGCTGCAAAGGTCATTCCGTAGGAGAGGAATATAAACGCACCTATCAAAATACTCTTTTCCAGGGTGGAAGACAAACAAGCTCTCCCCCCAAAAGCTGGCACATTCCAGCTGTGCCAGCAGAAAAAAAACCACGTCAAAGCAGCAGCCAGTGCACGCAAGGCCCAAAGAGGCACACGTAAACTGTGCAGGAAATTGGCCCCAAATTCGCAAAACAGGAAACATCCGGAGGAAACCCGCAAAGGGGGCTGCTGAAAGAGAAGGAAGGGGAAAAGGGAGACAGGTTCAGTCTTCCTAGATTGTGCATCGGTGTTTGTGTTTGTGTGTTTGTGTGCATGTGTAAAAGCCATTTCGAACGCATGGACGTAAGACAGATGGGGGGAGGAGGATGGGCTGGAAATGGAAGGGAGAAGGCAATTATTTTTCATACAGGTAGTCCTGTACTTGCAACGGTTTGTTTACTGACCGTTCCAAGTTACAACCTCATTGAAAAATGTGACTTATGTCTGTTTGCCCCACTTAACGACCGTTGCAGCATCTTCATGGGTCACGTGATCAAAACTGGGACGCTTGGCCACTGACACGTATTTACGACAATCGCAGTGTCCCAATATCACGTGATCCCCTTTGGCCACCTTCCAACAAGTAACAAGCAATGGGGAAGCCGGATTCGCTTAACGACCGGGATATTAACTTTAACAACTGTCGTAAAGTGGGGCAAAGCTCACTTAACAAATGTCAACAGGAATGTTGGGCTCAATTTGGGGTCCTAAGCCGAGGACTGCCCGCAGGGGCCTTCCAGCCCCCCCCCCAAAAAATCCCATCATCCCCTGCCCTCCATTGGTAGGCAAAACCCCAGCGTGCCCGAGAGCGCCGCGTTGACGATGCTAGAGGAGCGAACGCTCCTTTGCCCCGCCCGCTCGGGGACAGAGCGCATGCGCTTTATCAGCAGCGGCGGCGGTTGCAGGAAACTGTCCCCGCGCGGCCTCCGTAGCTCGCTGAGGCCGACGTTCCGCGTGACGTAAATTCCTCCTCTCGGCCGCCGTAGCCCGCGCGCGCGCGCGCGCGAAAGCCGGAGGGGGCGCGGCCTGGCGTTGCCATGGCGGCGGTGGAGGGTCGCGGAGGGGACGGGGCGCTGTGGGGCTCTCGTGGCCCGGCCCGGCCCGCCATGGAGGACGAACTTTACCTGGAGAACATCGACGAGTTCGTCACGGACCAGAACCGAGTCGTGAGNCTTGGGGAAATGAGTGGGGGGCGGGGGGAGGGTCTGCGTGTCCAGGAAAAAAAAAAAGCTAATTAATGCGTTTAATTGCTTTATTCGGGCTCCGCGGCCTCCTTTCGGGCCTACTCGTCTCCGACACGTGCTCTACTCCAAGTCCCATCATCCGCAGCGGGTGGTAGGGATGGTAGTAGGCCGAGGGGCTCGAGGGGGGGGGACTCGGAGAGGGGGAGTCGAAGGGGGGGAGGCTCTTCGAAGGGATCCTTATTGCTGCCGGTCTAAGTCTGCCAGGGACCCCGCATCCCATAATACTTCTGGCCCTTTTGGGCCTGGCGTCCCTCCAAGAGCCAGAAGCTGCATGCATTCCCCCCCCAATATTTTAGGGGGGTGGGGGGGATGAGCCTTCAAATGGCAGGCCTGGTTAGGCCTCTCTTTATTTGGGGAGGGGGCTGATGTGCTCCCCCCAATCCAGAGCAGCCCTTAACTTGACTCCCTTCTTGCATTAAGGAAAATGATGATAAATGACGATAAATGTATTTTTCTGCGTGGGTGTGTAATGGGATGACCTCTCCAGAAAATATTTACATATAAAGTATATATACAAACACACTCTATCTATCTATCTATCTATCTATCTATCTATCTATCTATCTATCTATCTATCTATCTATCTATCTATCTATGTTTGTATGTGTCTGTATGTATATGTGTATATGTGTATATATATGTATACATGTATGTGTTTATGTAAGTGTATGTATGTAGATAGAGATGGATGAGGTAGGTAGATAGATATGGAGATAGATAGATAGATAGATAGATAGATAGATAGATAGATAGATAGATATGGATGGAGATAGATAGATAGATAGATAGATAGATAGATAGATAGATAGATAGATAGATATGGAGATAGATAGATAGATAGATAGATAGATAGATAGATAGATAGATAGATATGGATGGAGATAGATAGGTAGGTAGGTAGGTAGGTAGGTAGATATGGATGGAGATAGATTAGAATTAGAGAGAGAGAGAGAGAGAGAGAGAATAAAAAAAGATTGTGGTGGTTCTCCAGAACAATAAATATATATAAATATATAAACTATACACACAGACACACACACATTATGTACATACATATTGTCTAAATGAGAAAAGAACACGGTGACTTATCCAGAACAATAAATCGTCCAAACAACAGTTGGGAGCATCTCCTGTTTACCGTATTTATCGGCGTATAACGCGCACAGGCGTATAACACGCACCTTCATTTTAAGAGGGAAATTTCAAGAAAAAAAAAGCGCCGGCTCGAGAGCGAAAGCAAAAGGGGAGGGGGAG